CAACTACATCCGTGTAAAATTCCAAGGGTTTAGTGAGCGGTAGCTAATTAAATGGGTCTTTGCTTGTCCTCAGATTCGTGAACTTCTTCGAGATGATGCATTTGACCATGCACTGCGTGGCAAGGAAAAGACAGCATGGAAAGCCTTCCAGTTAGTGGCAATAAATTTTCTCGGAAACAACAAGGCAGACAACTACAGGTTGTTGGTGGGAAAACCTCCTCAAGGCATACAAAAGCCTTGGTTGCAACATGTCACTAAAGATACCTTTTTTGCACTCTCATCTAGACTTTTTTTCCACCGAACTACGGAGCAGTGAGCGACGAGCACGGCGAGCGATTTCACCAGGACATTGTAACAATGGAGAAACGCTATCAGGGCAAATGGTGCCCATCAGTGCTTGCAGACTATTGCTGGACAGTGACAAGAGATGCTCCATTTAATGAATACAAGAGACAAGCCAAGAAGCGCCGAGTAGACACTGAATAGGACTAAACTATGTACATAATAGTTTTTTGCCTTTTGTTTCATAATTTTTATTTACATAACCCTTTTGCTGATTTTTAAAGTGTTACATAAACAGGACAGGTGAAATATTATCATGTGAAGCAACCATAAACACATGAAAAGACCTAGGTTTACAATTTGATTAAAACTCTATTATCTACACAATATACATAGACATAAAATGTAAAAACTTAAATATCTTAGAAACAGTAGTCAATCAGTTGTTTTAATTGTCATATTTGAATTCAGCACATCAAAATACATAATAAATAGCACATTTTATCTCTGAAGCAGACGACTTCTGAAAAATTGTAGACCAGTGTAATTTTTCAGACTAAAATGAAAGCACTTAATACCCAATTTGGCATATCTAAAATAATTTTCCAAGTATTTTTATAGATTAAAAAGTTACTACACTTAACAGTTACTCAAAAATTGGTTTGCAATGTTCTCACCGCTCTTTTTCCCCTCTGATGTTTGTGTTGGAGACATTTTTAACCCCCCAATTTTGGAACATACTAGTTGCCCCAAATTTGTTTGCCATCATTTGTCGTAAGTTTGGTCTAATAGAGGCTGATGAAGAAAATTAATTTTGCTGGCTATTTCATTCGCCAGTACTGTCTTGACTGCATTTGTGCTCTGCACACAGCTTGCTGAACCAGGGAGATAGGCCTCAGCAGACACTGTGAGGCTGACCTGTTGAACCATAGTAGTTCACAAGTTGGGGTCATTTGCAGTAAGTGTAGCTTCACTTATTCAGGGCCACTGCAGGGAAAGCAATGGCTTTCTAGATACTTAGGGTGGGTGCAGTGGGCCATACCCAAGTCGTCTGGCTTTCCCCAGGCCCCCACTCTGTCACTCTAAAGGGAAGCACTAGTTTGATCAGTAAATATGAGCTTACTGACTTCATTCATGTTAACATTGTGTAAAAGGTACTCTACGAAAGATTCCTGCTCAGATGTCATTGCAGGATTTCCCAATACATCCAAAGCATACATTTATAGCAGCTACAGTGCAGCACCTTGTATTCAGAAAATACACATTTCTCCCTAATTTATCTGGCCTACATTTCAAGCCTCTGTGTCTCAACTCTTTTTGAACTCAAGATTTTAGCTGGTCCTTAAACAGTATATGGTAGCGGTGTGTGGTGTTTTTTTTAAAGCCATGCTTTAGTGATCTTTTAACTTAGTTTCTTAGTTGCCTTATTTAACATTTTACTAATACAAGAGTAACAGCCCTATTCAATGGGAAATCAGTTGCCAAAACATTCTAACAAGGATTTTCTCTTGGCTGCTTTTCTGGTTAGTTGGTTTTGATAGTTGAAGTTTGTACTTGTGGAAACTTTCACTCAGGATACTGTTTTAGTGTGGTTCAGTTGTGATTTTCCTTAAAGTTTATTCCTGTATGGGAAGGGGAATAAGCTATACTCCTACAAACAGTCTTATAAAAGCCCTAGTATGACCAGTTTAACTTTGTTTAAAAAAAAAAACCTTTCCTTGCCAAAAGGTACACTGGTAAAACATAAGTGTAGAGCAGGCCTTAGTGTGATGGTGCCTAAATGGCTTCCCCTGTATAAGCCCTGCAACTGCTTCACAGTTCTGATCTGCTGCAGTTGCAACAGTTGTCTTCAGCTGCTCTGCTCAATGGGTTATTGGATGTAAACCCTTACATTTTCTCTTCCCAGCTGTCCTAATAGTGGTGATACCTGCACCCTTGGTAGCAAAAGTGTTGAGCCCTAATGGAAAAAGACTGGCTTGCCACCCTTTGTTGGAGATTTTCAGAGTCCAGAGTGCCTCTCTCGGGACTGAATGACTGGTCTAGTCTCAGAAGAGAGCTGAGTGAGGTTCTGCAAAGATATGGAGAAAGGTAGGTCCTGTGGTTGGAGCATAAGCAAAGGAGACCCCTTGCATCTGTGAACCAACAGAGCTGTTGAATCCATGGTACCAGTCAAACTGACCCAGCTCTGTTTTTGTCATCAGTAACAGCTGATCATTCAGGGACCCTGGGAGCTATAGGTGTCCTGTGCTTCC